ATATTGTAATCGGTTCTTTGTTTAGGAATTCATCATCAGAAATCTTCATCAATGGTGAGTTCATTTGAATTAAATGAACTGGTAACTTAAAAGCTTTCGAAATCGCAATAATCTATTTATTTTTTAAAAAAGTAAGTAAAGCATCATCAGAAGTTTATGCTTACAAAACACAAACCACATACTTCTAATTGTCCTCCCCAAACGGCTGTATTTTCCAATTCATCACAATATTTACTAAATTGTTCTAATAAAAAGGTAAGAAATTAGAAAAATTAATTAGACGCAAATTAAACAATCCCTTTAATGTGACTTGTTTGCTGACCCGGACTACATATTCCGTCATCTTTGGTAGGTAAAAATGGAATAAAATCGTCAGGGTTTTCACGCATATATGCCGCGGTTTTACGCCTTAGTTCTTTATAATCAGTCTACCTTAATGAAAAAAAGAGGTTAATCAAAATATGTACGTACATAAGCGAATCATAGTAAAAAAAATTCTTTACATACCATAATATTATGTTTAATTTGCAATTGGTCTGATATAGCATTATAAAGGCTGTATTTGAATTCAGAAAAACAACGAAAAAAAAAATTTTTTTAAATTGGAATAAAAACTTTATTAACTATATCTTATATTGAAAAGCCAAGAAAACTTGCCAATGCCCATCAGGCATGATCTAACAGTCATTAAATTTGAAGTATTATGTTATTGACTCTTTTTGTTAGAAAATAATAGATTATTTATGAAAAAAAATTTGTTACCTCTTTAATAGATAATCCCATTGTGGTGACGATTTCTTTGATTTTTTCGCGTTCTACTTCTTTCATATTGGGTTGATTTTTGGCTTCATTTTCAACTTCGCGTTGTAATTCGGCCATCTCAGCTGCTTTACGTGCCTTAATTAACAATTCTCAATTACAATCAAAAGAATAAAACATTTTAATTTAAGATTCATAAATACCTTTCTTAATTTTTGTCGATTTGGTTTTTTGCTTTTCGGGACCTTATTTGAGGACACCGAAACTTTTGAAGCAGCATTTTTTTCCTCCTCGACGCGTTTTGCTTCAATCTTAGCTAATAACTTATCAACAATATCTTCGTTATCGTCGCTAATATTCTCATTCTCGTTATTCTTAATCGGTAAATTAAAGAAGTGAGCCTAACGCATCTATTTGAGTTTCGTGTTATAATACTTTATAATTTCAAACCTGATTCTCCTCAATTGGGGCTTTCTCGGAAGATTCAATTTTTTTAGCTTGTTGTTGAGTCTGTTTCATTTCTCGTATTATAAAATGTTAAAAGTTCCTTAAATTTTTATATAATTAGATCCGGATAGATTGACTTTACTTTTAAATTGAAAATTTTTTTTTTTGCCCATATAAGGATAACGGTTACACGATTTACTAGAATTCCTACCAAAATTATGTTTGATATACAGAATGCCAATCTATTAAGTTGACTAAATTTCGTTTGTTAAAGAAAAAAAAGTTAAGAATAATTTAGTAAAGAAAACATGTTTATAAAAAAAAAATAAATAAAAATATATAGATAAAAAGAACGTTAAAGGTGAAAAATAGATATGTATAATAATCAATAAAAATAAAAATTATAATTTATAACAGAAAACATTTGATCCTATATATACACTTGATAAATATAAAATTATCTAAAAAATCGAATCAAGCTTAAAAGATTTCTTTAATCAACTTTATTTAGTAACTTAGCTTTTTAAATATAATAGATTAATCATAAATCATATGGTTTTTATATATTTTCTTATATTATTAAATAATATAATATTAATGTTTTAAAGTTTAATCTTAAATATTTATTTAGATTTAATAAGCATAAGTAATAAAGTTTAAATAAAACTTTTTCTGCTAATTCCCTTAACTGTTAAAATGATTAATAAAAAAATAATTGCAAAAATAATAATAACAAAACCAGAGGTCACTCAAATCATTTAGTTTCACTTAATAATAATAATTAATAACTACTAGCAAAAAAACAACAACTTAAAAAATCCTACTTATTATATTCTTAACTTTGATAAAAAATGTTACTAAAATCTTTTAAATAATATGAATATTGATCAAAGTCATAATTATTTTCTATAATAATTAGTTATTTAAAGTATAAAATTAAGAAATAAAAGAAACAAAAGAAAAATAAAAAATTATGATTAAAAATTATAATAGTATATAAAGAAAAATATTTATAATATCTTATAAAATAATAATTTTTAATTTTTAATATTAATATATTATATATTATACTATAATTTGATTTCAAGTAATTAATATATAAAATAAATATTAATATTTAAATAATAATTTAAAAAACAATTTTTACTTTTACTATTTATTAATTTAATTATATTAATTTTAGATTTATAATAAATAATAATATAAGAAGCATATTAATTTGCATTTTAGATGAAAATTATATTAGATGATATTACTTATTTATTTATTATTAATAGTAAGTGATATTACTAAGGTGATTTTATAAACTATTTAGTATATCACATGATTTTTATTATATTACTATAAAAATTCAAATGATTTTTAATCTTGTATTATTATTAATCATTAATTATACTATTTTATTATATTATTAATACTAATAGAAAGTAAATAAAAAAGGTGTTTAATTCAGATACCTTGAAGTATAATGATTAATTTAATTATACTTTTTATAATACCTTTATTTTTTTTTTGATTTACTACAATTTCTTCATGATCTCTATTAATAATATTAATTATATATTGAATATGCTTTACTTTCTTTTTTTGAGATTTATCACATGATTTATACTTATTAATTTACTGACCTTTATGTCTCACTCATAATAGATTACTAATTTGCATATTTTTTAGTTAATTAGATAATTCTACTACTTTTATATTTTTAATTAAATCTTTTATTTGATTAACAATTCATTAATTTTATCAGTTTAAATAATCAAATAAGTACCTTTTAGCATATCCCATATTAATCCATATTTTTGTTTAGAACCTTAAGATTGTATAATATTAAAAGTTTGCTTAAAATTTGCAAAATATTAAATGATAATTGAGGACTCACTATCTCTAATTCATTTTCTTTAACTTGATATACTAGTTTATTATATTATTCAGTATTATACTTATTATAATTATACTATTATTAAGAAATAAGAGATATATAGAACTGTGAATTAATTACATAAAATATAATGTTTATACATAATTTGTCTATTAATAAACTAAAAATAAGTATATAAATGTGACCTGTTATTAAGTAAAATAATACATATACTTTTAATTTTTGATCACAATATTTAGAACCTTCTATATTTGCTAAATATTATTATAAGATATATTTTTGATTAATAAAGAAAATAAAGTTTAAGTTTAATTATAATTATTTTCTCTAGCCATCTCTTATTAATAAAAATTATCTATGGAAAAAAAAAGTATGAGTGATGATAATTAATCTTTAATTAATTTCATATTATAGCATAATAATTGAAACTATTTGATTTTATTATTTTTGAAAAATTTATGATGTTAAATACTTTTGCAAAATTTTATCAAGTTTTAAAAAGTATTTATCTATTATTAATAATAGTCATTTAGTAATAATTTTATTTTTACATTCGCTTAATATTACTTTTTTGATTATTGATCAAAAATTTGTTGAATTTCTTTAATAACATCTGTTAAATATAAAGATCTATTTAATCTATTTTAACTATATTATTAGTAGATTCTACTCATTATGTATTTTAAATTCCTGCTGTAAAATTCTGATTAATATAGTAAAATAGGCCTAACTGCTTTTACAAGAATATAAGATTTTTGTAAATTATTGTTTGCAAGCTGAAAATTCATTAACAAGAGTATTCCATTTTATTTCAAATGTTTTATAACATAAAGAGTTATGTGTTTCTAAGAATTTAGTGCAAAAAAGTTCAATTTGATCATGTAATTTCCTTTAAGTTTCTTTTTAGATTTAAATCTATATGAAAATATAAAGGAAATGATGTATTTTTGGATAATTCATTTTTATGGCTAATATTAAGGCTGGATTAACATTAGAATACAAGACTATTGATATAAAATTATTAGAATTTTTTAATTCTTGTAAAATCCATGTGAAAGTTGCTTCTGTTTTATCTTATAAATTGCTGCAACTACTATTAAAAAATTCTAAAATTATTATTAATTGCTATAAGAATTATACACAGAATCATTAAATTTAAATATCGGTAAATCAGAAGATTGATAAACATTTAACAACTCAGAATCACTATGTAAAAATCATAATAAGAGTTGAATAGCAGGTTAGAATTATAGGAAAAATTTTGTATTTTCTATTGTAAGTTGGTTTGTTAATAGTTTTAAAATTTCGTAACTGTTTTGTGTAGGTAATTATAATTGATATAAATTTTACTTTAGGAAAAAAATACTTTGGAAATATAGATATATGCTTATAAACAGATTAAAATATTCTTTAGAAAATAGGACTTTAACGTGTATTAGAATTTTTTTCGAAACAGATCGTTTAGATGTAGATTTACATTATTATATAAACAATCATTTATCATTCGCGTAATAGTCAGATATTATCACTTGCTAACCTATATCGATATATCAAATTATTAAAATTAAAAAATCACCTTTCAGGTGAAAATTTGTTAAATTACCCAGACTGTAAATTAGTTATATTCTTATAAGATTATTTTTTAAAATTTATACTTAACGTTAATATAAGATTTATAATAGAATTATAAAATATAAATTTTATAATTATACAGTATTTCAATTAAATTAAAAAAATTCATCTACTTTACCGTAATGCCGGCCTAGTTGAAATTTTTTGTGCTATTAATTTATCCTTTTTAAATTTGTCACATGGATAGAAATTTGCTTTTATTTGAACTTTTTTGTTTTTAAAAAATTTCGCTTTCCAAAACATCTTTGACGATTCAAGCAGATCAATCACAGATTGTAAAATGGAAGCTCTTGATGAACTTCAAAAACTTGAATACCTTTCTTTAGTTTCAAAAATTACAAGCGAACTGCTTAATCACACCGGGATAAATGATAAAACTTTAGGTTAGCTCGTATGACTATATACTCTCTAATTCGTTGCTAATTTACTAACTTATTTTCTAAACTTATAGCCGAATTTGTGATTAATTTACACGAACAGCATCGAACATTACCAGAGTTTAAAAAGGCTTTGACTGATGCCGGAGCAGAGTTTCCAGAATCTTTTATTAATACCTTGGATCGGCTGATCCAAAAAATGAATCCCAAATATAAGACAAAAGGGAAAATAAAAGAAGTAAGCAGTGATGAAGAAGACAATAATCTTGGCTATGATCCCGATGAAAAAGCAAAAATATTTCCAGGATTAGCCATGCCAGATGATCCAGATTGGGTAGCGTATTTATTTAATTAAAACCGCATTTTTTTCTTTAATGCAATATGGCTTTATTTTTGTTTATTACGATTTATATATGAATTTGTAAATACTTTAAATTAGCATGAAAAAAATGAAAAAGACACTAAGATAGCAATTGATACTATGGTTCAATTGGAAGACTTAGAAAGTATGCTTAGGTCTAAAAAGAAGGAAGCCATTGAAAAAAAAACATCAAAGACTAATAAACGACATTCTAGTAGGAGTAATTCACGATCCTCTAAGCGGAGACGATCCAGATCAAATAGTCCACCTTATCGTAGGAGGCGTAGTAGAAGCCATAGTCCTAAACGAGATAGGGAAAGGGACAGGGGTCATGGAAGAAATCGGAGTCGAGATAGAGCAAGAAACCGTAGTATAGATAGATATATAGGTCGCGACAGAGATAGAGAAGGTTACGTTAAGGAAGAACTGGATGAAAAGCCAGTGCTTTATAAGATATATAATGGCAGGATAACTAATTTAAGAGATTTTGGCGCATTTGTTAGTTTGGAAGGTGTCAAAGGTCGGGTAGAAGGTAAGCATTCGTATTATTAATAGTTGGATTTTATAAATTGTTTATTAATCATATCCTTTCTCCTGAACAAGGTATGGTACATGTAAGTATGCTGTTAGCTGGATCTAGAATTTCACATCCGTCGGAGGTAGTCAACCGTAATCAAACTGTTAAAGTGAAAGTTATGTCTGTAGCTGCATCGCGAATAAGTTTATCTATGAAGGACGTAGATCAAAATACCGGTGAAGATTTGTCACCCCATTTGCGTATAAAGACTGAAGAGGTAAGAAAATAATTTAGGTTTGTAACAGTTGCATATGAAAGATTAACGATATATATTAAAAAGTAATTATAATTAGGAGCTTGAAGCTGAAGCCTTACATAATCCAGAACGTCCATACTCCTTTGGAAAAGTACCAGTTATTGAAGACAATGATGGTCCCAATAATCTTAAACGTCCAACTTCACCAGAACGTTGGGAACTTAAACAACTTGTTGCTTCTGGTGTGCTACGTGCTTCAGAAATGCCTGATTATGATGAGGAACAAGGATTTATCGAAAACATGGAAACAGAAGAAGAATTGGATATTGAAATTATGGAAGACGAACCACCGTTTTTGAGAGGACAAACCAAACACACAGTTCAGCTAAGTCCCATTAAGGTTGTTAAAGCACCTGATGGTACATTGAACCGTGCTGCTCTAGCAGGGGCTTCTTTAGCCAAAGAACGTCGAGAGTTAAGGTATATGATTTATATTTAAATCTCTGAATACTTTATAATCAATTAAAACTAATGTTCTAATATGTAGGCAACAACAAGCGAATGCCGAATTAGATTCAGTTCCAAAGGATATTAATATTCCTTGGCTAGATCCTTTACCAGAACCTGGAGAACGTCATTTTGCACAAGACTTAAGGGGAATTGCAGCAGGTCGTAAAGCTGGTGAAGTCCCCGAATGGAAAAAAGAAACCTTTAATAAAGCGACCAGTTTCGGTAAGGTTACTTCATTGTCTATTCAAGAACAAAGACAAAGTTTACCGATTTATCAAATGCGGAATATGTTAATTAAGGCCATATCAGAAGTATGTATTCGGCTTATTGTTAATCTTTTAACGAATTGTAATAATTGTATTGAACAAGAATGTACCTAATTGTTTACATAGCATCAACAACTTATTATTGTTGGCGATACCGGGTCTGGCAAGACTACGCAAATGACACAATATCTCGCTGAAGAAGGATTTGCAAATCATGGAAAAATTGGGTGCACACAACCTCGTCGTGTTGCTGCTATGTCAGTTGCAAAACGCGTAGCCGAAGAAGTGGGTTGTCGTTTAGGAGAAGAAGTTGGATATACTATTCGTTTTGAAGATTGTACTAGCCTTAATACTAAAATTAAATACATGACGGACGGTATGTTGTTGAGAGAATGTTTATTAGACCCCGATTTAAGACAATATTCAGTAATTATTCTTGATGAGGCGCACGAAAGAACGATATACACCGATGTGCTGTTCGGACTACTTAAAAGTAAATTATCATTATCTTTATATTATGAATATGTATTCTTTTTTCAATTTTATTTATTAACTTAATTATTATAGAAACTCTCAAGAGACGTCCGGAGCTTAGAGTAATTGTTACCTCTGCAACATTGAATGCAGAAAAATTTTCAAAGTATTTCTTTGATTGTCCTATCTTTAGTATTCCAGGTCGTAAATTTCCTGTCGAGGTTCTTTATACCAAAGAACCTGAATCTGACTATTTGGATGCTGCGTTGATTACCGTTATGCAAATCCACCTTTCTGAACCACCAGGTGATGTCTTGCTTTTCTTAACTGGTCAGGAGGAAATCGATACAGCATGTGAAATTCTATATGAGCGTATGAAAGCTCTTGGGCCACAAGTACCCGATTTAGTTATCTTGCCAGTTTATTCTGCATTGCCTAGTGAAATGCAATCACGTATTTTTGAACCAGCTCCTCCAGGTAGTCGAAAAGTGGTTATTGCAACAAATATAGCAGAAACCTCGATCACGATAGATGGTATATATTATGTTGTGGATCCTGGATTCGTAAAGCAGAATGCTTATGATGCCAAAGTGGGAATGGATTCTTTGATTGTCACACCTATTTCTCAAGCGCAGGCACGTCAACGTTCGGGTCGTGCTGGTCGTACAGGACCTGGAAAATGTTATAGACTTTATACTGAAGCAGCTTATCGTAATGAAATGCTTCCAAATCCTGTACCTGAAATTCAGCGTACAAATCTTGCAAATACTGTATTGACTCTTAAAGCCATGGGAATAAATGATCTTTTGCATTTTGACTTTATGGATCCTCCACCTGTTCAAACTCTTCTTACAGCATTAGAACAATTGTATGCACTATCAGCTTTGGATGATGAGGGCCTTTTAACAAGATTAGGACGTAAAATGGCTGAATTTCCTTTAGACCCCCCATTAGCGAAGATGTTGATACATTCAGTTGATCTTGGTTGTTCTGAAGAAATTCTTACCATAGTAGCAATGCTTTCTGTCCAAAATGTTTTTTATCGTCCAAAAGAGAAACAAGCAGCTGCTGATCAAAAGAAAGCAAAATTTCATCAACCTGAGGGAGATCATTTAACTCTTCTGACAGTATATAATGCTTGGAAAGCTAGTAAATTTTCCAATGCATGGTGTTTCGAAAATTTTATTCAAGGAAGAAGTATGAAAAGATGTCAAGATATTCGCAAACAATTGTTGGGTATTATGGACCGTTATAAACAAGATATTATTTCATGTGGTAGAAATTATGACAAAGTTCGTAGAGCTATATGTGGAGGTTTCTTCCGTCATGCAGCCAAGAAAGATCCTCAAGAAGGTTATAAAACATTAGTAGAAGGTACTCCAGTATATATTCATCCATCAAGTGCTTTGTTCAATAAAGGTCCTGAATGGTAAGTGCTTGTGATTTTATTATTACTTATCTTTATATTTATCTAATATTATTTACCAATTTACAGGGTTATATATCACGAACTTGTGCTAACTACAAAGGAATATATGAGAGAAGTTACAGCAATTGAACCAAAATGGCTCACCGAAGCTGCGCCTACATTCTTTAAGGTTGCTGATGCTAATACGATCAGTAAGCGCAAGAGAGGCGAAAAGATTCAGCCTTTATACAATAAATACGAAAAACCAAACGAATGGCGTCTAAGTCGTGTCAAGAGACATCAAAGAGTTTCACAAACTTTCGGTAGTTATTATTTTTATTATGATATTACATTTTCATATTATTATCTAGTATTAACTATTCTTTACTTTTAAATAGGTTGATGATAACGATACGAAATACGTAGGCACCCTAATTTGGAAATCCGTCGTCGGAAAAATGGTAATATGTAAGAATAATTATAGTATTCCTTAAATAGGGATTTATATGTTTCTGAAGAAATTTGCATAATAGTCATAATAATAAAAATACGTCATGATTCTATGATAGATATTTAAAAAGATAAAATTTTCAGATATTATAGAAATAACTTACTAATTGTTTCTTATTTTATTATTATTATAAGTTATTATGCAGAAAACTTATTTATTTTATATAAAGCATTAGAGTAATTGAACGAGTAATTTGTTGATTTAATATATATTATCACGTTATCAAACGTAATAAAAATAATGCCGTTATTTTGTTCGTAATGTATGAAAATTGCTTTCATATCACTAGTGGTGATAAAATATTTGCTATTCTCAATTTTGGCATTAATTCTTTATAAGGTTAAGTATCTGTTAATTCGCTTAATAAAAAATAACCTAAAGCATAATAATTTTATATATAAAACAAAATTTTTTTATATTTATTCTGATTTATTATTAATTATAAAATTTAAAATTAAAAAAAATATATACAGTCAACTCTCTATAAATGCACCCCCCTCGGGACCAGACATAAGCATGCATTTATAGAGGGTGTGCATTTATAAAAAATATGTTTTTAAAAAATTTTATATTTTATT